CCTCCAGTGACATCTATCCGCTCACGTTAGGTACCGCGAGAAATCACACCAGTCCAATATACTCTACAGGTGTCAGGTATGTATAATATATTATAAGTATTTTTTCTGTATGTGAAAGCGGGTTTCCACTATACACGTATGCGTGTACGTGCATACAAATCCTTGGCTGTGATTGGTTGGTTATAAGATCAGTTACCACACGATTAACCACGATACCGTGTTGTTGGACATAGCTGAACATTTTTCGTGTACACGGCAAACGTGTATAGTGGAAACCCGCATTAAGCCTATATTGTGTAGTTTGGTTAGATATACGTCAATAATTATATTATATTGTTATTAATTGCTTATAATATCACCTATTATATGATTATGAATTTTAGCTTTTATACAGAGCGATGAATCAATAAATTGATTTTACAATAATGTATTTATATTTTTTTTGTGTAACTATAAACATGGATTTAGACTTTGAGGGTGGTTTCTGATGGCAAACTTAATCTAGGTAGTAGTAGTACTCCGAAAGGTTAAAATTTAAAATTCCCAGTTTTATTTCGAAAATAATCGATTAAGCAAAAAACTTGTGTATTATGATACGTTTAAAAATATCTATGGATATAAGAGATAGTTTGTAGAATAACTATTTAGATGGAGATAAATAACATGAAAGTGTATCTACTACCTATCTAGTTAAAAAAAATTAATTAATTTAATTTTCTAAAATTAAGTGAAAATGTGTTGTACCGGGCTATACGTTTTAGATATTAAAATGATAGTGCGATTGATTCAACTTGACTTATAAGCTGAATAAACAATATTTATAATAAATATATTAATTAGTAATTACCATTTTTTTGGTTTTTCAACTATAACTCAAAAAGTAAGCTTGAATGTAAATTTTGAAAATACCATATTGGACGTCGTAACATGAAAATTAAAATTGGTTTACTAATTCCCTTCATACCTGCATAGATTCACACAATTAATATTATCACTAGATAATATTATCGTATAATATCGTATTTTGTTTTTATGAAATTACAATACAATGAATACAAAGCAAATGAACAATTTATTATAAATCATAATTAAACAAATATAGGTAAGATACAACAGTTAAATAAATATTTTGAAAATACTCGAACAAATTAATAACAATAATACAAATATGGACACAATCAAAAATTAAATCTTGATACCTTCATCCTTTTCGCGTATGGCCGTATGGTCTATGTGCCTGGAAGGTCTCCTGATAACAACAAAAATATTATATTGTCAATATTAATTGTAATTACAATCCACCACAATAAGCAAGCGGTATATGTCATTATGTCAATAATAGAAAGTATATTATTTTATAATCACAGTTCAATTTACAATGATATGTAAATTTGTGTGCAAAAGGCTAGAGTGTATTTGAAATATAACCGTGGAATACCGATTTGTGTAGAGTTTATACAAAAATAGGTAAGTATAGTATGCTTGTACAGCTTCGGTGGTATTATGGCTGTTTGGAAGTATTAATACTCACAAAGTGTTCTTTCTTAGATTCCTTTATTTCTCGTTTCTCGTTTAATTTCAAACCATTAAACATCGCCACAAGGAGGTCCACGGAATCAACCTGTTCGGTCATTTCTACTTCGAATCGTCCACAAAATACTCGTGGACAATCATTTTCGTCATCTTTCGGAAATCGCTCGTCCGCAAACACGGACACAGTTCCAAATCTTCAGTATTTTCATCTGTTGGTTTATCTTCCACACGTTTTCTTTACAGACTGGTAACAACCTATTTGGAGCTGCATAATTCGTCGAGGCATCGCAGACTCCAGTCATCGCGTCACATCCAGACATTACGGTAGGAGATGAAATACCAAACCAAGCCAATAATTTATTGCTCGTCTGGATTTTTTAACGAAATATCCGCTTATTTTTATTTTTCCGATCAATCGGAACAATTTGAATTTTGAGTGAAGTAGCAAAATGCCACTGCGTCCCAGCTTACATCACATGGCACGATACAACATAATGATGTTGTACAATAAATTATAGAAAAAACTTTGAAAAACAGTTGAATAGTTGAAAGAGTGTAGAGTGAATACTTAATAATATACCAAATGGATTTTTGTTTTATATCGTTCCAATGTAGTATATACGTACTGAGTATATATACATTGTTTATTTCCGGTTTCTATGTTGTAACAAAATACTCGTTGATTTAATTTCAGCCGTCGAATATATTATATAGATGTATGCTTAAATATTTTTACAATAATGTATATTAATATAAAGAACTCGAACATCACTGCACATATCAATCGGCAGTGGTACAAAAAAATTTGTAGAGACTCAAAACATTATACTTATTATGACATGAAGCTCGCATATATTGTATAATATTATATAATACATGTTTAACATAGAACATATTTGGACTTCAGCGGAATTAATTTTGTGTTTTTAGTTGTATTATTACAGTATTCATTATCAAATGTTTTAAAGGTAAGGATATTATCAGTATTCTTTAGGTGGCTTTTTCTATCTTCATTTACTGAAGTCATGCATTGGCAAACCATTTCCAAAGTCCTAAAAAAGCATTTACATTGTTATTACTTATAGGTTATTTTTTTACGGATGAAAATATTTAAATCTCAAGAATTTAAATTAGAAGAACTTATCTGATTGTGTAAAAATAAAACCCAAAGTTGAAAGTATTGTCATTGACGACTGACACAAATGACACGAGCGGCGCCGCGGCGACAACGAAATTGCATAATATTGCCAAAAAAATGTATGATTGATTTTGTAGTTGAAAATTTATAAAATGTTCAACTTTTAGAGCTAAGGATTGAAAACTTACAACAAGGTTCCGCGTAAGTAGGTTCTTCTGTAACCAAAAAATCTCAAAAATATAAATCACGGTTTTTTAGTTATTTTCTATTAAAAATTGGAGGAAATTACACATTAAATAACCAAGAATAACGGTTTTAGTTATTTTTTTGTAATTTTATAATATTAATTCAACTTACCGTATTATAATAATAACTAATAAGTAATAACAATATAAAGATATTATAAAATATCCAGACTGACAAACCGTCTCCGCTCGGAATCGTTTTTCCTATACAAATATACAATTATATTATATCATTGAATTCAAGTTTAATATACTCCATTATACATTGACCCACTTGTAACCTACTGTACGGCAGAGCGACATCCACTTACCCACTTTTTATTTTATTGTTATTTTATTTTTTGACATTCAAGTTGATTTTGTTTTATTTTCTATTGTTATATTATTAAAAAATTAATAAATGATAATGTTAAAAGCTATATGTACTTACCTACTTATTGAATTGCAATAACGTTATTTAAGAAAATATAATTTGAACGTATTATTAATTAGAAGTTCTAAACGTATTAGGGATTAATGAATATTTTTCGAGGGGAGCGAAAAAAAAAATTTTTTAGGTTACATACATATTTTATTAGTGCGTATACCCATAAATATATTTACCAATACACCACTGGTTACAAAATTAACTACCTACGTATTACTAACATTGTGTTAAATTTTCAATTCTTCGCTATAAAAAATGAACATTTTTCAATCGAACAAAAATCATATTTTGAATAACATAATTGAAGAAAAAAAGGTCGACACCTATATTATAATATCAGTAACAATATGGTGTGAAAAAGTATTGGTATAATAAAATATGTATTAAGAGGCCTCTCTACGGTCATTATTTAAGGGGCAACATTTAGGCAATTTCTAATCTTGTCATAGCCGCCCGGGATCTATGTGTTAGTTGTAAATAATTTATTATTAGTGTGAGTGAAATTTTCAACAACTTGTCAATAACTCGATAATCATATAAATTTCACTACACGAATTTTGCAAAAACATACATTTGTTTTGACAAAATTAAAGTTGGTTAACGTAATAACGTTGTCTGATTTTGGTTCTGAAAAAAATATTTGAATTTAGCAGAAAAATGTCTGTATATCGTACGAAACATTTTCCATTTTTATTATTAATTTTAATTATGATTCGAAAAAGTTGATATTTTCAAGTTTTCAATTACAGTTCACAATAATATAAAATTTAGTTTTTACAGTGTTTCGTAGGATCTATAGACAATTTTCTGGTGAGTTCAAATTTTCTTCAGAATTAAAGTCGGACGTTAACTAAATTTAATTTTGCCAATACTTTAGGTCTTTTCAGCTAAAATTAACAGCAGTAGCGAGGCTCCTTAATGTATTATATAATTAAATTTGAGATTTAAGATTATAATTCATAATTAAGATTATGAGAGGAGAAAGAGATTCATTCGTTAACTCCTTACAACAAATATTTATAAAACCAACATATTTTGTTAAAAACTATATTAATTTATGTAAACTTTTATTTATTTATTTTTTCATCAACGTATATATTAACTAAAAATTATTTGAACATTAGAATGTGTAAGACGCTGCATTATTTTATTTTATAAATATTATTACTTTTAATGTAAGCGGTGATACTGATAGATGATAAGTACACCGGCCAGTGCCACAGTTAGTTTCAGTGTCCAGACCTAAGCGTTCAGACTTCCTGAGACATGCAGTTTTCGTGATGTCATAGATTGGTTAACATTTTAAGTATCACATAATTTAATAATTATAAACTTTTTGTTAGGTTTTCTGATTTTATAAGCTTAATACAGATATAATTATTAGAATAATAAATAAACACAATATATTTTTCTATGTATATTTTAATCTCAAACACTTTAATTTAGACAAATACAAATCTCAATTTAAAATTAACCTAACAATCACTTATTTTGTTTTCGTTAATTAATTAAAATATAGTTGTAATAAATAGCATAAAAGCCATAAAGCAATCTTTAAATTAAACTTGAAAGTAGAATCCAATAATGATATTATAATACTTAATATGAATATACATGAGATTAATTAAAGAAACGGCACATTATGTAATGAGTATAATTATGAAAATCTAGCTTTAAATTCCTCAAGATTCAGTACTGGTCCAAATTCGTTTGAAGGATCCATTGAAATGAAATTATCCAAATTGTGAACTTTATCTGCAATGAGTAAAACACAACAATTTTAATATATTTAATTTAAACTCTAAATCATAATATTATACATTAATACTATTTATTTATTATATAATAATTATTTCTATTTTTCTTTCATAAATTGTATAATAGTCAATAGGTCAAATGTTAAATTATTATTGATGTTTAATACGTACACTTTTAATTTAAGCACTATAAATTGGTGAACATGTCAATTAAATAATTTATTTTTACTGAGTTATCTTTAATTATTATTATACAGACGTTCAAGTCATACATGAATATTTTAAGTTTTAAATATGTAAGAATTTAAAAAAATAAATATAATATTTATCCCACACAGGAACAAGTATACCTATACTAATAAAAACAGCAGTAAACGTGTTGAGGAATAATTTATAATTGCATAAGATGTGTATTACATACCTAGTCTACAATTTAAAATTTAAAAAGTCATTAGGTAGGTACAAAAATAGCGTTTGCAGATCAGATGCAATTTATTTTACGCTATCCATTATATTAATAACTAAAATAGATAATGATTTTTTAGCTGCTCACAATATACAGGGTGATTTATCTAATTCTTTTATAATGAGTGTCTTATGTTAAGTAGATCACTTCATATACATAAATTCATTATCTTTAATTTTTAATCTAAACAATAACGATGAATAGTGGTAAAAAAGTATTATGTTTATACCTTCGTTTAAAATTGGAGGATATGGCGGTGGTGGTGACATCCAACCGCCTTCTTCTATCATGTGGTTTCTATCAGATGAAAATTTAGCCACGAATACATCAGCATCAACAACTTTAAAATAGCTAAATATTGGAATAATAATAATTGTAGTTTAAATCATATTATTATTATTATTAAATTAAATATACCGTTTAGAGTGAGATTCCTTAAATTCCTCTCTAATAGCTTCCTTAGCGTATTGTGCGAAAGGAACAGGGAATGGCAATCTAGTGTCCATATCAAAAACCAAGGTATTATCAAGATGCTGAACAATCAAGAATACGTGGTAATCCTATTCATACATTATTCAATAAAAAAAAAATGTATGAGTTATTTTTGTAATAGTAAATAATTGATAATTTAATCATCTTTATACCCAAAACACGAGTCCTTCATTATGGCTACTGTTTTGATTCCACAAGTGTACGCATTTATTATAGTTCGACACAAAAATAACGTAACATTTCATGTTTGGCGTGGACTTGTTTAAGTCTAGTATCAGTTTAGCTAATTGCCAAATATTTTCCTCGCTGGAAAAATAAAAATAACAAAAATGTTAGTTTATAGTTTGTGTTTGACATCTAGAACAGTGGCACCTATCGGTTTAGTTCAAACTATTATTGTAGTTGTCATATGAACATGTCATTGGAGAGATATTTAAGAGGACATCTCTCATCCACATTTGTTGTCTACATCGTAGAAGTGCAAAACATAGCAAACTTGCACTCGGCAGGTTACGTTCAGCTTCGTTAGTTTTAACAATAGAGTGAATTGATTTATTATCAAACCCTAAGGGGTAACATTGTTTGTTGTTATTAATGTTTTACGACATTTTAATCTTGAAGCGAATTATGAGTGTACAAGAATTTACAATTTAAAAAATCGCACAACTAGCTTAAAATGAAAATATCGAAAAACACCTCCAACAAATCACAATAGTTTAACCCTTGTTTGATAATGGCCTCCGACATTAAAACTAACGAAGCTAAACGTGACGTCGTAAAAGTAAATTTGCCTTGTTACGCACGTCTTGTGTCGAGACAACAAAAATGGTGGGTGAGAACTGAGAAATGTTTTTAAGGTGAAATATTGAAAAGTAAACTAATGTTTGGCACGAACGATTCTGATTGTCGAGACATGCCAAGTCAGTAAGTTCGTGTCGTGAGTGCAAACGAAATATCACGGTGTCTATTTTCAGCCATTACGAACAAAGTATACACAACATGTGTACATGTCGGATATACATACCAGAAGCATGCCGTGTACATGCAATCGGATTTCTGAGGGATAACCAAACTCGAAGACTGTTCCGATTCCGAACTCATCTCTCAGCCTTTCGCGACGGATTCCGTTGACGATGACGCGTATACGATTGCCAAGTCGGCGGTACGTGGGACCGAAGACAGCGGAGGCTTAAGTATATTTTCTAATTTTCCAAGGATGCAAACGTCAATACTCAATACCAGATGCACGGCTTGGTGCAATTGTGCGTCGTCATCGTCATCAAATTGGGTTATCTATGTATTAATTCAACCTCCATCAATGGTAATTGGTAACATATGGTATAGTTGAACCACGGTTGAAATCCCTGTAAACCATCTGGTTAGATACTTCACCGTACTGTGATTACACATTAGGTGTTATTATAGGTGCTTATTAAATATTTAAATGACAAAATTGAATGTGGTTAATAATAAAATATTTAAATACAATAATATACACTCTATACCATGACTAAATTATTAAGTAATTGTAACTAATTATTAAGTCATGATCTGTACTATGTAATTAATGACTATATAGTAATTTTTATAGTTCAATCGTTTTAAATTACTGTTTTACATAAACAATAATGAATTTGTTATTGGTAATAAGACGAACAAATTCTGAACACGAATCGCACGCTCTACAAGGTGCATTTTATAATATTACCATTTGACATTACACGATCACAGTGCAAAAACAAAGTACAGATGAAGACATGAAGTTAAAAAAAAAGATCTAAAATCAGTAAAGATTTATTATTTATTAATAAGATGTTAGATAGTCAGCTGTCAGCACTAAACACTAATGCATAATTTGTTTTCTCTCTCACCGGCCCACCCACAACAATGCAACATAATAAATTTGCATTTAGCAGCAATGCAGGCGGTGCAGCACCGATTTGGTGTGATTGAATTTTACATTAGACTGAATTGACCTATGTATCTGAAAGGTAAGGATAATAATTATGGTGCCTCGTAGACTTTTATTGATATTTTGATTTTACGAAGAGTTATACCTTAATTTTAATAACAATACATTGATTAAAATAATTACATAATTAATACATATAATCAATATTTAATATAGCATATTTAATCAATACTTAGTAAACATATAATATAAGGTCCATGAATAAGTAATAACCTTAATCTAAAGTTACCTTACTCTCGTGTTTTTTTTTCACATCTTACGTGAATCCCGGGAGAGTAACAATTAATCGCAGTATAGCAAATCAGGGTAGTAAATCTGTAACTTGGAATTTGTGATCGATTTGCGTTGCACGACGCACATAGATAATAGTATAGGAAAATAATCATATAAATAATCAATACATATGTATATTGTATATATCTGTGGGTATCATTGCCCATACCAATCGGCGTGTCCCATAGAGTTATATAATATATTATCTATGGTGTCGCCGCTGTGATTGATAAGAATACGAAACGCGATCGGATCTCTGATAAAAAAATAAAAATATAGGGTATCTAGCTGGTGCTATGATAATGTCCGGAAGATTTAAAAAATACAAATCGGCCAAATTGGCAAATTGTCGTGTCGAATGTAATTAATTGATCATTGCGTGTCGTCGGCGAATTTATCGTTCACGTCAATGTACTGCTCGCCGCCGCGACGTCAAAAACACCTGCTTAGTGCAGTACGTTGTTGGCACGCGTTGGTATTCCGATATTCGAACTGGCACATCACACCTTGGTGATAATATGCTGTACAAGAATTGTGCGGCTGAGGAATAATGACCACAGCGAATCCAATAGGCGATGATGCACTTCGGATATCCGATCACAAACCTCTCATTACATGCAAGCTACTTTACTATACCGTTGTTCAGATTTGCCGGTCTTCCATTCTGCCACTAACAAGTCGATGTGGACATTGTGTTTGTTTCAGATGCCGGTGACAAGGAACTATTTGAAAATTTGAAACTTGTGCTCAGCCAGTCGCTTAGTCAGGAACCGATCGAATGGAGGCGCCAGTATGGCAGACCCATGAAAATGGTCACCTTGTCCACAGACTTTGTACCATTCAACAAAGATGCTGTGGCTGAACAAATCGGCAGTCGTAATTTGGTTGGTCGTCCAATAATGCATACTTTTTGGACTCAGTGTTTGGTAAGCAATTTGCTCATTACAATATTTTGAATAATTAAAATATACACATACCTATCTGTATTCCATAAGTGTTTACTAGGTTATGGTTAATTTAACGTTAATTGTCTTTCTATTTTAATGTAAACTATTTGTTTGTATTCTTAGGATATGGAAGTGTATAAATCGTTACTAAGAGATGAAATTGATAAATGGATGAATGAAATGAACAAGCACAATATTATTGATTGGGTAATAGTTGTAGTTGAAACTTATGACTTGAGAAAACATAGTAAATTATTGCCTCGAACAACTGTCTTTGACAAGATCAAAAGTGATTTTGCTGAAAAAAAAGCTGATCGGTATGTCTTGAATTTATTCTAACTAATTATTATTCAATATATTAATCATGCAGTTACTAAACTGAAACATTTTATTAATATTTAGCTGTTTATCCGTAATAAATCCACCTAAATCAGAAGTCCGATGTGGCAGCAGTGCATGGAGGGCATTAATCACCAATGTACGTCTATTAATTTTGTCTGCGTTTGATAGATTGTTTTTAAAATATGAAGATAATATAAGAAATTATAGAGAACAGCGAAATGATCCGTCTTGGAGTTTTTGCAAATATTTTTTATATCAAGTAATACACATTTTTGCATATTTCTAATTTACAAAATTATTCTTTTAAATATTACATTTATATAGGAAGAATTAGCGTTTGCCCTGGAAATGCTAGGAATTCATGATGAAGCTTTAGTCCAATATGATGAACTAGATGCCATGTTTACCCAATTTATATTAAATTCTCAAGTTGGAAGTAAAAATTACTTATCTTGGTAGCATATTCACTCTTTATTTATTTATCTTATTTTTTTTTTAGATGTTCCTCAATGGCTGACTGAATTCCAAGTTGTCTTAGAATGGTGGTCTGCTGTATTATTTATGAAAAATATAAGTCGTAAACAAAGGGAAGCCATTAAAATTAGAAAACTATCACTTCTTGAATTTAGATGCTATTTGTTTTCACGCCAAGCGTCTCTATTGATGGCTGCATCCAAACCTTGGATTGTGCGTATTATTTTTGTGTATAATTTATTTTCATAAACAGTAAGTTATTGATGTTAATTTTAGGTGGCAGAAAGAGCATTGATATTTCTCCATCAGGCAGTAAGTGACTTGAAAACATTGGAAATTGAATGTCCACAAGGTTCAGTTGCTTGTTGGGTTTTACAATGCTGCTCTCAAATTTTAGTTATTTGTCAATCTGTTAAAAAACCAGAACATTTAGAAGAATGCTCTCATCACACTGCGCCGCTTTTATATTATTCATTGAAAAAAGTAAATATTAATGATAAGCGTTTATTTAATTGGTTATGCATTTTTTTATTTAAATTTTATGTTAAGTTATACGAGTTAGGAGATCTTTGTGGACTACTCCCAGGCAGTGTTCAAACATCTGAACAACTTCATACTGTACAAGTTTTATGTGGCGGAATGCAAAGTGGTCACGATTTGACTACAGCTACTGAATCTGTAGCAACTCTAAAAACAGCTCTTTCATCTTCTGAAACATTCAGTAAACATTATTTGGTATGTTAAATATTGTATAATATACTATACTATAAATAATAATAATTTTAATAATATCAATCACTACAATTTTATATGTTCAGGATATAGCTGAATTAGCAATTAGCACTTATAAACATAACAAATTAATGAGATGTGCACATAGTTTAGTCGGTTTGGAACTAGCTAAATTTTACACATTGTCTGGGGATACTACAAAAAGAACTATGTTTTTAGTTAAAGCCCTAAAACTATTTGAACAAGATAACTGGAAATTATTAATAGTACAAACAAATTTAGAATTAGTCAAATGTTTTAAAAAAATTGGCAATGTTGACCAGTATGTTTTATTTTTTTATTAATTTACTACTGTTCTAATCTTTTTTATTATAGCAAACCTATATTAACTAATTTGATTTTTTTTTTTTATACTTAGATTTGTAAAAACATGTTTACAATTAGCTTCCTCAACTGAATGCAACCTAAAAGTTAGACTAGATCATTTTGACCAGATGTCAAGAATGATTCAAGATTCAAATATAGGTAAGATATTTTAGAATTAATTAATAATTAATATATTATGTTTATATAAAACAATATTTTAATTCTATAACAATTTTGTATTTTCTAAATATTCAAAGATAATATTTTAACTAATCGTTAAAGTATTGTTTAAAAATAATCAAATTGCATGCATACTTAACTAATTTACATTTTGATGTATATTTTAAAAAATATATAACTTTCAAGCCTATTTACTGGTATAAATTAATGCTTTTGTCTTAAAGATTATACTCATTGAAATTAATGTAAGTAGTATTTCTCCTTAAAGCTTTATTTAAAAATGTAAGCACATTTCATTATCTACCTCTAATTAAATTTACATTCAATTATATTATTATATGGAAACAATTGAAACATTTAGTTCTAAGAAGTGTTTAAAAACATTGTGAAATCATTCAAAGACCAATGATTTAATATTCACTAGAAAAATATTTCAAGTATTTTAACTGTTTGATTAAATGTTAATAGATACTCCATCTGCACAGGAGATGAACTATTTCATATTACTAATTGACAATTATTAAAAATGATTTGCTGTATTGCACTTGACTATCATGTCCAACAGTTGCACTATTGTTTTCATAAATATTACAAAATTACAAACGTGTATAAATGATGTAATATAATACTAATTAAAATTAATTTGACCAATAATTATAGAATGTATTTATCCAACGGACGATGTTATAGTATTGGCTCAAATAGATGTGAAATGCAACAATGAAGAAAGTAATTATCCGTCGACAGTGTCACTAAAATTTAAAAGCAATCTTCCTAAAACAGTTTTGTGTCCAAAAATTGCTATTTCTGTGGTA